CTCTCTCTCTCTCTCTCTGTCTCTAGAAGCCAGGAAGCTGGGTCCCGTCTCACAATTTTAATGATCGCCTTCCCCCCCTTGGCCTCAGCAGCATCTGCTTGGAGCATGGCAGTACACAAGAACAGGTATCTAAAGTAAGTGCTAGTAGGAAGGCTCCCCCAACACGCAAACCCTTAACTAGTTTTAAGTTGTTTTAAGTTCTCACGTATGGTTTGGGATGTTTGGAGCCTGCTATACATGCGTCCGGGGTCACCATATATATATATATATATTGTTTCTAGGTCAGAGACTCGGCGCTTTGTCGGAAACTGGAGAAGGGGGAGGTTACACGTCATCCTAATGTCATCCTTAAGCCGTATAAATCCTAAACCCATCTAGACCCAAAACCTCACAACCCGAAACCGCTAGCTAAATCCTCAAACGCGCCGTGATCCTAGATGTTATCGACTCGTCTAGCCCCTGATCCTCCAAGTGATGCTTCTGGCCTCTCCAGCGTAGGCTTTTTGACCAATAAACCGCGCGAGCGCGGAGAAAAGCAACACCGGCGATCTCCACGAAGTGGTTTCTTCCTGCCGGGCATCGGGAGGGATGATTAGGGAGAGTGTGAGAGAGAGAGGGTGCGTGTCGGCGTGTGTGCCTGTAATTTCTGACGGAAAGCCGCATGCCGAATATCAGGCCCTCAGAGCAGACTCAGTATTACTCCTGCTGCAGCCACCCCGACTCCCTCCAAGATACCCTTTAACCCTATAAACCCTGAACCCACTGACATAACTCAGTGCTCCTTTCCCTGTCCCAGATGCTGGACGTCACCCGAAGCTCCCGAAGCTCCCGAAATCCGAGGTCCATCCTACCAGGACCCCCTCAAGGGCCCCTTAATAGAGCCCTTATGGCCCTTAATNNGGTATATTCGAGGGTAGTTGGGGGGTCTAGGTAGAAACCCAAAAGACACAACACTTGCCCTCCTGAACCGCCCACATTAGACCCGAAACCCTACTTAAACCCTACCCTAACCCACCAAAACCCATTTTTTTGAGGTTCTTATTATAAACCCCTAATATGGGATTTATAAGGACCCTACAAAAAGTAGGTTCTGGTGGGTTAAGGTAAACCCTAATCCAAACACAGGTCGTGAACTCCGAGGGGGAGATCAGACACCTGCGACCCGGCTGTGATTTGTGCAAGCCCCGATCTGCGCCGCAGATGCGGTTTCGGGTTTGGGGTTTAGGGTTTAGGATTTAAGCATGGTGCTTGGGGAAATATGACGGTATATGTTGATATGAAGGAAACCTATAAGGAGCAGCACAATTGGCAACAATTACTGGTACTTATATCGGTCCCTACATTAAATCATCGCATCCGATGAAGTTGCCCCTTTTTTGGGTTGTCTTCTGGGGTCCTTCGAATAAGATTGGTCCCTAAACCCTAAACCCTAAACCCATACAAGGAACGACAAGGGAGACTACAGGTAGGGCTGAACACGGAAGATCTGGGGGCTATAATTTAGGAGTTGTCAAAATTTGGGTCCCTTTTTGGGGTACCCTAAATCCGTAATATAATAAGGACCCAAAGAGGGACCATAATTTGACAACTACCCAATTAGGAGTTGTTTAGGGTTTAGGGCTTAAGATGTGGGGCCTAGAGTATAGGGTTTAGGGTTCAGGCTTTTACAGGAGTTTCCGGAAATTAGGGTACCCTTATTTGGGGTTCCTGAAAATAAGGATCCTACTATTTAGGGTACTATATTTATGAGGGTCCCCTATTTTTCGGAAACCCCCATATAGGATTTGATTTTCTCCTGACGCGTTGGTGCTTTCTGGTTTGAGGCTTACGGTTAGGATGGCTTTTGTACGGTCTGTGCAGAAAGTTATGTGAGGGCATTGGCCCCATTCAAAAATTTAATAAGCCCTGAATCCTAAATCCTAAACCCTATGGTTTCGAAACGAGCCATCCCCAGCGCTCGCAGCGCTTAAGTTGCGTGGGGTTTGCAGGCTCGGGCGACTAGGTTTTTGGGGGTCCTAGTTATATAGAAGACATGTATCCAGAGCCCGGAGGAATAGAGCTGCACCCATAGTGAGGGACATAGCACGTAATTCCCATAGCCTCGGGCCTCTACGCGGGCCAAACAACAACATGCACAGCAACCGTGAACTGGTAGTCACGAACCGCGCAAGGTAATGTCAACATTCTTTCAGCCAGACGAAATCTACAAGATACGAAAACAATACAGCTTTATTCCAAACTAGACCTTTCCTAAGCCCTCAAACCTCAACCCTCCTTTCCTAAACCCTCGACCCTTTTTGAACAAGATTTGAAAAACCGAGGCTTGGTCTACGAGATTTCACGGACTCCTCTTCCCTGTCACTCAGAGACAAAAGGATGGCCTTTGTTTTGATCTGCATATTGGGAGTGGGGTGGGGTGGAGGGGGGCCCGGGAAGGGGGGGGGAGGGCTGTAGATTATCTATGTGTGTGTATGTATGTATATATATATATACATGCATATGTCTCTTGCTAGATGGATAGGTAGATACATAGTTCCATAGAGACATCTAGATGGGTAGATAAACTGGCATCTAGTAGATAGCTTATTTATTAATTGGACTAGTTAGGTTCAGCTGAAAATGGAAACCGTTGTAAGGATTCGGTCCTCGGCGTAATGATTGTTTTTTTTTTTTTTTTTTGG